ATCGTTTTGGTGAAAAAGAAAAATGACGAGATCAGGTTGTGTGTTGATTATAGACAGTTGAATAAGGTAACAATACCGGACGCAGAGCCTATGCCAAACCAGGAAGAACTGTTTATCAAAATAGCGCAGGCAAAAAAATTTTCTAAGTTCGATTTATCTAAAGGTTACTGGCAGATCCCGATTAAAGAATCATCTAAGAAATTTACTGCTTTTGTGACACCTTTTGGTTTATATCATTGGAATTTTATGAGCTTTGGGCTTATTAATGCCCCGGCCACCTTTAATAGATTAATGAGACGGGTGTTAGCGAGTAATAATGATACAGTAGCTTATCTTGATGATATTTGTTTATTCTCTAAGAACTGGGATGAGCACATCACTGGTTTACAGGCGCTTTTCACAGCTTTAAAAAATAATGGTCTAACAGCAAGACCCAGTAAGGTTGAAATTGGCATGACAGAAATCCAATTCTTAGGTCACATGATTTCGTACCAAACTGTAAAACCTGTGGGCGAAACGTTAAAGCATATTCTAGACATAAAAATTCCTAAATCCCTAAAAGAAGTACGTAGTTTGATAGGACTGTGCAACTATTATAGGAAATTTATTCCTAATTTCGCCTCACTGGTACACCCAATCACAGAGTTAACTAGAAAGAAAGGAAGGTACAAGGGTATTGAGTGGACTAAGGAATGTGATGATACATTACATAGTATTAAAACGTTGTTTGCGGAGCAGCCAATTCTAAGGCTACCTGATCTAGGCAGACCTTTTCTTTTGGCTACGGATGCTTCTGCTTTTGGTATCGGTGCCTGCTTGATGCAGGAGGTAGATACCCATCTACATCCTGTTGTATACGTTAGCAGGAAGCTATCCGAGTCAGAAAAAAATTATGCTACGATTGAGAAGGAATGTTTGGCGATCGTGTGGGCCGTAACAAAGCTGTCTAAGTACCTATCGGGCACACATTTTACCTTACTGACTGACCACTCCCCCTTGGTAGCATTAGAAAATAAAAAACTTCATAATGCTAGGTTGACTAGGTGGGCACTTATCTTACAAGATTACAGGTTTGACATTGTACATATTCCTGGGGCCCAAAATGTTATTGCAGATACTTTGTCTAGGAACTGAGAATATTAGGGGCTGGGAGAGGGTCATTTAAAGGTTTACAATTAATGCTGTATTATGTAAATATATGATGTTTTAAGATGATGATATTGTTTGATTACATGTTTGCATTACAATAATTATTGTGTTTTAAATTTGAGATAAGTAGATGATGAATGTTAGTATAAAATTTTTTTTTTGAAGGAAAAGGTACATTGTAAGTTAAGATGCATTCGAATTATGACTTAGTGACTGAATATTGTTAGCTTGGTATGTTTGTTTATTCCTATTAGCGCCTGGCTGTCTCAAGTTGTACAAGCTACCATATTGACTCAAGAAGGAAGACAAGATTTGTCTCTGTCTATTGGTGTATATTATGTCCTAGCTAATAACATATTAAGGATATATTATTAGCCTTTATGGGAGGGGGGTATGTTAGGATTGTTACCTATAAGTATTTACGTAGATTTAGAGTAGCGTCCCTTTTGTTTACATGTTTCCATTAACCTTCAATCTATAGTCTATTTTAGTATATTGAGATCAAAGAATGTAAATAAATAGTACACACACATTTTGTAGCATAGGAACGATTGGGAGGGAAGTGACATAGAGCGCAGAAAACTTAGATGTTAGGCGGGGTATAAAAGGTGGGGTTAGGATTATTAGGGGGTCCATTCTCTTATAGGCATCCTAGGTTGTGTGATCTTACAAGCAATAAAAGTAACGAATTGTGAACGGACTTCGTGTTGGTTTCTTGTCGACCCTGTCCTCAACTCACAACACTTAATACACATGTAATGTGCCCCCCCCCCCCTACTTACATTCTCTATGAAGTTTCATAGCATTGATGATGCGTAGTTCGAAAAAAAAACCGTACCTTGAATCATTCAGAGAACAGTACTACTAAACCTAAATAGACGTAAGGAGGGAGGTGCTAAATTGGAGTGCTTAGACTACCCCTCCGAAACATTTTCGTCGATCACTCATCCTGTAAAATAAGGATGTGTGCACAAGAGAAATTGAAATGTTTGATTTGCTTCCCTTAATGTCTCCGTGTAATGAGTCAACTGCTGATTGTGGACATGTCTGGAAGGGGGGGGGGGGGGTAGCTCGTTAAAGAAGTATATATATATATATATATATATATATATATATATATATATATATATATATATATATATATATATATATATATATATATATATATATATTCTTTATTTTATTTCGTCCTTTAACCTGAGTGGGGAGGGTGCTTGAAAGAAACATTGGTCTAAAGATTTTGAGAGAAATGTTAGATACAGCCATTTAAGAGTGAGTGTATATGTGTAAGAGTGTGTGTGTGTGGGGTGGGGGGGTGTGTTAAGGAAATAGTTTTCCATAAATTAGGATGCTGGTTAAAAGATAGCATCATTTTAATTTGAAATATAGTTAAGAATTTTAAAAATCTTACAAAACCAATCCTAAATTTAAGTATATTTTTCTCTTCACTTTTAAGGTTACAAAGAGGGAAAACAAAACAATTTTTTTAAAGAAAATATAAACCAAAATGTAATTAATTAATGTACAATGTTTATTTAATACAATAAAAATAAAAGGAATTATAAACATTGATTGTAATGTAAATAATAATCATAGGTTTTTAACAAAAGAATTTCTTTTTAGAAAAATACAACTGTAATGGTATAATTCTGTGATCTTGCCCTTAAGAAAATTTTTAAATGTGCAAAGGTCCATTTGCATTCCTTAATTTATATACCTCATTGGCAATGCTAACATATTATAAGGCAGGCATTATAGTTTAGCTGTTCTTTTTTATTCCATACATTACTGAGAAACCCAGAAGGACAATACAGGGTCAGCGTGATCGGGTCACGGTTGCTAAACCAGAAAGTCCCTAGTTTGAACCCAGGGAAGATGGGGGCTAAATAGCTTGGGTACAGCAACCCCACCTAAGGGAGAGAACTCCAAAATCTAACAACAACTGCCTTATGTTTGGACAAAAGCTATGGGAGCTAATCCAAAAAGAAAAACAGGCTGAAATAAGTCAACTGCCTACATGCTGCATAACAAGTTGATACTAAATACTTAAATTTATTGTGTTGTAGGAAATCTTGTCCAACATAGCAATAAACAACAAAGAAGATGAGGACCACTGCAACCGCTGCCACCTTTTGTGATAGACACTAGTATAACTGGTCAGAGATGATCATCAATGTAACCACCAGCAATATTGGTAAGAGATGTAGCTACGAATCTTTAGGACATGATACTTTGGTGGATTAAAGACACAATGGTGTACAAATCACGGGGAAAAAAAAGTGAAGTCTGGTTCTATGGAACCGATATATACATATATTTATGCATAAATACATATATATATATTTATACATATATATATATATATATATATATATATATATATATATATATATATATATATATATATATATATATATATACATACATATATAAATACACATACAAATATGTTAGCTGACTTTGAATTTGGATTAAAATTTGCCATAAAAGCAGACTTGTATATAAGGCATACTGTTGATATTTTCCAAAAAATATTTCAATTTTAATGAATTCTTAGTGATGTACCTTTTTTATTTATTTACATACACATAATTTTTTTTTCTGGTTACTAAAACTAATTGCAATATTAGCTTATTAAGTAAAGAAAATTTCTGGGTTAGTAGAGATATGTAAATAATGTTCCTTTTGAGAACAATTAAGTTAAGTAACTCTTGTCAACCATACTACCAGTCTAATTGGGTAAACAATGTTCTAAAGACCAGCAAATGACCAAAACAACTTAATATTATTTATAAAGCTCACTAAGTATTTGACTAAAAGTATTTTTTTTTGTCAATTATTATGGAGAAGGGAGACAATCTAATAGAACATAGAGAAACTAGCAAATTACATAGAAAAGAAAAATCACATAAAATAAATTGAAAATAAAATGTACGTAAACACAGACAATTATTTAACAAATAACCTCATTTAAAAAAAGATATAGTTATATATTGCTAAATACTTTAACTAAATACATCATTTTTTAAATGTACTTAATTAGTATTTAATTTGTATACATCAAACACTAGCAATCAGGTAAAGATTTTAATTTTGAATAAAATGTACAATAGACTTTTCACAGAAAACAATACTGTAATAATTTTTAAAGAAAATAAAGATAAATTACAGCCAACTTTATTTCAAGAATTACATATGGGAAAATATACAGCCAAGAATGAAGATGAAGTAGAGTTCATCTAATTTTTATGCCTGTTTATGAAATCGAGGCTATATATGTTTACATTCTATGTCCAGCCTCATGTATGTTTAACATACATATCACAAGAACCAGCTCATTCAGGATTCGAACTCATTCCTCGTGGTTAGTTACCACTCAAGCACACAGACCCATCTTCCTATGTACAGAATTTCCTTGCAACCTCAAGATCTTTTTTTTTGCGTTACTTCATAGTGGCTTTTCATTAAAAACAATCCCATTCACATGCTTTTCTTGTCTTTGTTCAGCGATGGAAAATGAGACCTAGTGGATCTGGTCACAATCATCAGCAAAAATCAGCGTAGCACGATTTCGTGCTTCTGATCAATTAAATACCCACCACCAATGACAGGAAAATGTTTTTTTTTTCCCATTCACTGAATAATCTGCTATATAAAACTCATGTCATTTTAACCCTTTACCATTCTTAATTTTGTATGTACTGTATAACCAAACTGAGGGAAATAATTTGAATTTTAGAAAAAAATTATTTAAAATTTCATAAACAAAAACTGTACTGTATAACCAAACAAAGGGAAATAATTTGAATTCTAGAAATATAAAATTCTTTAAAACTGTTAACAAAAACCGAATAAAAACCACCATTTAAAAAACAAGATGAAAAGTAGAAAAAATTGGTATAATTTATTGTATATATATTTATAAACCGAAATCTTAAAATATACTCAAGTAGGTTTAAATTGTATCCATAGTTGCATTTAAAAATAAATATGTAAAATTAAATACAGTATCAAATAAATGCTATAAATAAAAATTTCTTCTTGTAATATATTTGCAACACTTTCCATAACAGGGATAGTAGCAAGATAACCCAGTTATGACAGTATGTGTATATGATGACAGTATGTGTATATGTGCTAGCGTTCAGTGTCAGCCGATAAAGGGTTAAAAGCCTTTAATGTCAGTCTCAATAGTCCTGTCTGGGAATGTTTTTTAAAACAATAACAAGCAGTTACTTCTACGCAGGAACAAACATTTTCCTCATAACATTGGTTAGATGTGTACTTATGAGGTCGGAGGTCAGTGTACTTATAAGCCAGTGGCCAAATGCTTTTATTACAATGCATTTCGGATAAGAAAACAAATATGATTTAATTTCAGGATCACCCATAATCTGCAGCATAAAGCCAGATTATCATCATATTGCATTCTAAATCCCTTTGTAATTTTTCGGTAATAAAACGCAGTATTTGACACGCAGCTGTTTTAAACTGGCGTATTTTAACCCCCGCAGTGCTGATTGTATGCAGCCTAATCCACCGTTTCATTTTCTCATTGTTGAACGAAGATTAGGAAAACATTTCCTCCTCTGGTGGTTTGCTGATCCACTTTCCGCAGCCACTGGACTTGAACTTCTCAAACATGACTTCCTTAGCTCTCAGGAACTGCGTGCTCTTTCTCTTGGTGTGGTAGTATGTCATTCCTTGGAGGTCTCTTCGATTGTAAACATTGCAGGCTTTCTTGAATTTATCGAACATGTTTCTCTTGGATAAGCGAGAAAACATTCTCTGTTCTAGGCTGTTTTAAACATTTTCAAAAATTAAATTCATTAACCATTTATTAATTAATATTTTCAGATAGGCTTCTGCATTTAAATAAAAATTTTAAATTTCATGAATAATCAATTCATAAAATAAAGCTAAGCAATATATTTGTTACGTTTTAGTATGAATCACTCTACGTAATTAGGTTTTAAAAAAGTGTAATGTATAATGAAAAATTATGTCCATTTTTTCATTGACTTGTTATGTGGAATATTATTTTGACTAATTTAATAATTACTATAAGGTTTATTTTTTACTTTTCACTTAAGTACTTCTATGGTTGCCAAGAGAGCAATACATTATCATATAAAGTTTTTGTCTGCAGGTGTCATTATTAAGAGATAGGGCTAGGGCCAAGTTAGTAGTATCAGCAAAAAATAACTTAGATACAAAAATGGTAGTGTTTTAAATGTACCACACATATCAAAGAAAAAACTGTTATGAAAGAAATAGTTTTTAAAAAAACTACATACGCTGAATAACAGATACCGAGACTCCCATCCAAGACTTCAGGCCTGTCCTCCCCTAACCTCCAGTTGATGCTGTAGGACTTTGTTTTCTGGGTTTCTCTAGGGGGATCACATGCTGTTACACGACCCAGGATTGGGTGGTTGAGGGTGTAAGGCTCGGGGACACTTCTTCTCAGCTCTGGCTGACCGCGGTCCAATCGGCAGCAGACGGCTCGAGACAGATGGGATTGGTCAAATAAATAACCTGGAATAAATTAGTCAAGTTATAAATGCAGTAGTTATATTTCATAGTGTTGCTTTTACATTTATTCAGAGTAACATCCCTTTTGGCTATTTTATTATATAAACAAACATTAATATACACCATCAAAACTTTAAATGCAATAAAATTTTGAATTCTAATGGAGCTAAGCTACATTTTAAGACTGACCAAGTGTAATGGAGCTCAGATACACACAATTTTAAGACTGACCTAGTGAAATGGAGCTAAGACAAATTTTAAGACTGACCTAGTGTAATGGAGCTAAGATACACAACATTTTAAGACTGACCTAGTGTAATGGAGCTAAGATAAACACAATTTTTAGATTAACTTAGTGTTATGGAGCTAAGACAGATTTTAAGACTGACCTAGTGTTATAGAGATAAGACAAATTTTAAGACTGACCTAGTGTTATAGAGATAAGACAAATTTTAAGACTGACCTAGTGTTATGGAGCTAAGATAAACTGGATCAAGGAAAAGGGAAAGAAGCGCCCCCTGCAGGCCTAGAACATTCCATCGGCAGATTTTATCACTGCAGGACATGGTGCGCAGCCGCTCTCCTGTTATCAGCCCATCCCATGCCTGTTCCTTATAGTTGGGCTCAATGGGAATTGTTCCTTCACCTAAAAATTAAGTAAACAATTGGGTTATTATTCAAAAGCAGGTAGAGTAATAATAGGTCACTTGCAAAACCAGATTCAAGTTCTTGAGAAAAAAATGAGTTATTCCTATATGCAGGTTAACAAATTGTCAATTTTTAGTATTTTTTCAAACTATTTTTCAAAAGGTATATTTTAAAATTAATCTTATTAAATAAAAATCAAAAAATTCCTAACATTAACTAGTAAAAAGATTTTAAAAAGATGATTTCCAGAAAATCAACCTGAAGTGACTCAACATGATTTGCAAGTAAAACTCTCATAAATTTTTTTGTCTACAATATTTCACAAAAATGCACATCTCTCATTCTATTGAACCAAACCAAATGTTACATCAACACAACATTGTGCATACTCTAATTTTATCAAACAAACCAAAACATTACATCAAACAACATCTAAAAATGTAATTTTGAACTAACCTCCCTCCATTTTGGTTCTGAGAACACCATGAGCATTGTTGGTATATATGGGGCAATGTTTATTTCCATCAGGCACTGGTGTATTGTTAGACTTCACATCTCTAAAAAGAGAGTTTTAGTAGTATTAGTACTAAATATTATAGTACTAAATATTGTACTAAATAGTTTTGCTAGCTAGTAATAAAAAGCACCCGTGAACATAATTATAATTTAAATATCTGTTTTTGTTTTAAGAAAGTATGTATGTAGTTTTGGTAAAAAATATATAACCAGACAGAAAATATTTATTAGAATCAACCTATAATAAATATTAATATTTTAAATAAAAATTAATTTATTTTACAATTAAATAACTGTAAAAAATTGAAAAAAATGTGTTTTTACAAATTCCAAACAAATATGATGCGATAACCGTTAAATGTTTGATAGTACTTTGCTTTAAAAATAAATATAATAAAAACTTCTTAACAAATATCTAATATCCTTTTATAAAATGTTTTAAGTCTTCCACTATTCAGGTAGTGAACTCACCTGGGAGAAAACAGTGCACCATCACCACATGGTGCAGTAGATATGTACAGGTGAAAATTGACATTTTTCTTCACCCTTAGCTTGCCATTGGAGGACTGCTCAAATATAGACTGGTCTTTGTCTTCTTGGTAAGAAATGATTGCATCCCACAGGAAGCTGAATTAATTAAAAAATATTGTTAACTGATTTCTTAATTATTAGCACATTTCAATAAATGTATTATAAGCACACAAATAAAAGAGCTAATAATATATACATTACCATTTACAATATCTTTTACTTATTACTATTTCTCTTTCACAATTCAGATGTTTAGAAAAATATAAATTTGGCTTTCAATGGCATGTACAAATTTGACTTCCCTTTACTTTTATTGATAAGATTATCTTTAAAAATTAAATAGTTGTTGGTGTTATAATTGTTGAGTATTAATTATTTTACATTTATGGTAAGTTAATTAAAGACAGTATAATAAATAACATATGGTAGTTACTGTTTAGAAGATAATGTGATTTTAGAATTTGTTTTTAAAAATAAAAACATACATTTAAGAATAGGTTAACTTGGTATAGTGTTTAAAGTTAAAAAATAATGTGATTTCAGAATTTATTTTTGTGACATATATTTAAGGATAAGTTAATATAAATCAAAGTTTATATAACAAGTAAGAAAATCAACCCAAAAGAAAATAGTTTAACAGTTAAACTTTATGAAAACAGGATAGGACACAATTTTTTAAAATATATCACACCTCATTAGGCCCCTTCTTGTGATGATTTCAGCATGACAGTCATTGACAGTATTTCCTTCTTGGCTCAGCTTGTCTCCTGTGATGCAACGGTTACCTGTTGAACATACATGCAAAGACAGTTAAAAACAAATATTGCATCAAACACAACAAAATTCACAGATATCAAACAAAAAATGAGTTGCACTTGTGAACACGCCAAAAGTTACATGTTGAACATATATGCAAAGAGTGTTAAAAAAAATATTGCATCAAACACAACAAAATTCACAGATATATAAAAAAATGAGTTTAACATGAGAACACCAAAGGTAATAATACCACCTGTAAGCCTACTATAAGAAATAAGTTAGCACAGTATAAAATTAAATGCAATAATTAATATATGAGCCTATCATACCAAAATATAATAACACTTACACTCTTTAAATTAATACTAATAAAACACATATAAAAAAGCCCAATGTAATAAAAATGTAACGATACCACATATAAGCCAATAGTGATAAAATTGTAAATACCCAAAATGTAATGATAACAAGCTCAGTTTGACTATAATATATTTATAACAAGCCCTGTTTGCCCAAAAATGTACTAATAACAAGCCAAGCTAGACCAAAATCTATTAATAACAAACCAAGTTAGACCAAAATGTATTAATAACAAGTCAAATTTGCCCAAAATCTATTTAAAACACTCCAATTAGCGCAAAATGTATTAATAACAAGCCCACTTTGACAAACATCTATTAAAAACACTCCAATTTGCCTAAAATGTATTAATAACAAGCCCAGTTTGACCAAAAGGAAATTACAAAAAAAAACACACCTGAGCCCAAGGAGACCACTTTACTGGTGTCTATACTGTCAATCTCCATCACAATGCCAGCTATGACCTTCCTGCCAGGAAAGCTCTCTGGCACAGTGGCAATCAGCTGGTTGTAGGTCTGGTGAACTTTGGCTGCTATTTTGTCATGGATTGTCATGTTGGCCTCTGGCATTTTCATCTGTCATAAAAAGATTTTTTATATTTTTATAAGGTAATTTTATAAACATATAATGTTTTTGCAGTTATAATTGTGTGTAAATAAATATAAATTTATAAAAACCACCTACCACACTTATCTGCTGAGGTAAATGATACTGGCCCTCGGCTATTAGGATCCTGACGGCCTGCTCCGCTGCCTCCTTCCTGCCATCTTTTTTGTTGCTGCTGGATATGTAAGGAAAGATGCGGTTTCCAAGCCTCGCAGCAAATACAAACCTGAAGTAGAACAAGAATATAGTTATAATTAGTAATTAGCAATACTGTGTAGGTCATCTGTGAGTGTAAACAGTTATGCAAAAATTACAGCCTAAAGTCATGGGCCCATACTGAAATTAATTTTTTTAAAGAATGGTATGTAAAAAAAAGGGAGATTTTCTTTTTTTTTACATTCAAAGTTTAATGCAAGTATTTTAAAGTATGATGTATTGTTTAATGTTTTATAATTTAAAAAATCCAAATATAATAATATTCAAAGTATAATGTTATAATGTTAGTACTTAAAAATACAATGCACATTTAACTTTGAGATATTCGGTAAATGAACAAAAGCATTGATTATATGACCAAAAACATAATGAACCATTATGCAGGATAAATCATTTTGTTATGATGAATAACAAATCAACGTACACAGGTTTGTGGGATGGTCCATGCTGCTCAACAGAGTCTATGCTGGCTGACAGATGGCGAGACTGTGCGTATTCCATGAAAGCCGAGATGGGGTTTTTATTGAGAGCTGCAAAACTTTCCGCTGTAATCTGCAGCTTGGCAGGTGCAGAGTTCATTTGCAAGCCTGTCTGCTTTAATTAAAAAATTAATTAAGAGCAAGGTAAAAAATATATAATAATTTTTTAAAATGCAAAATTCATAAGAACTATTCAATGTAAGGTCCAAGAGCCTACTAAGTTAAAAACATTTCTGGTATCATAACGTTTGAGTAAAAAATATTCTACTAACTATAAAAAGACATGTTATGAAAAGATCATTTACAGAAGCTGAGTTAAATTTACTTACTAAAATATAGTTTATGTAACAACAAATACTGAGAAATCAATAAGAAAACAAAACTTGTATGCAGTGTTATGATTTCAGGGTTAGGGTTAGGTAACCATCAGAGGAACAAAAGGAAACAAGAAAATCAATGAGAAGAAAAAATGAAAGTATTTTTAAAATAATGGAAATTCTATCACTTACCATGAAAGAAGGTTTGCTAGAGGATGTCATAGAATTCAACAGAGATGGCATGTTCGGGCATGAGCCTCTATAGGACGGAGTGCTGAGTAGAGGGGGTCGCCTCTGCTGCTGTGGCTCCTGCCCTCCAGGACTCTCAGGCTGCTGACTCTCCTGCAAGACCAGGAACTCCATCTCTGGCAGCATTGTCTTCTTGTCCCTCAGGAGCTGTTGGCCTAGTGTCAGAGTTGATGAATTAGACGACGACATGCTCTGTGTCTGTTGTGATGTAGCTGAAGTAGAGCCGAGCGAGAGCGATGAGGGCACTGAAGAGGAAGATCGTAGAGAAGCCGGAGATGGTTGCTGCATCCAAGGCATTATGCCAACAGGTTTGTCTTCTGACTGTAGAGAATTTCCTCTTCCATAACCTATTGTTTTTGTCACACCTGTAGAATTCCCACTAAATAAAGAATTTTGAATTAGTTGCGCCGGGCTTGGCGGCCTGTTCATGTTTTTAGATTCACTTACTTTCACAAATCCCTTCTCTCTAAGGTAATCCATTCCTTTATTTGTGACCTTATAAACATTTACTGTATCACAGTTCACTAAGCCTAGAGATAAACACTTGTTCAGAATTTCTTTCAATTTTATTACAGAAACAGATAATTGTTGGCTAAGTTTTGAGTCTGTACAATGAAGCGTCTTATCAATTTCTAACAAAACTTTAGTGATATCCTCTGATTCTTCCTTCGTCATCTGAAGACCACTTTCAGTATTATAATCCGAATCTTCATAAAATTCCTCATCCTCTTTATAATTGTCTTCTTCTCCATTGTAATAATCCGAATACTCGAAAAATTCTTGATCCTGGTTAAAAAACACAACATCGGCAATTCTACTTTGGAGATCTTCCTGATCATCTTCAGACTCAGATGTTGGGTACATGTCATCATCTTGACCTGCAGTGGCATGTTCTAGAGTGGCATGTTCTAGAGTGGCATCATCAGATGAATTTGTTGAAACATCAGGTTTGTTAGCAGATTGTGGACCAGGCAGATCATTGTTTTCATTGTCACAACCCTGGTGGATCTGGGGTTCAGTTTTAACTGCTGTGCTTTGTACAGCTGCTTGATCAGGCTGCGGACGTTGGTTGTTGAAATTTTCAGAATGGCTCGGGAATGGCCTTTTTCCACGTCCTCGCTTTAAAGGAGATTTTAAAATGTAAATAAATCTGCATAAATATCATTTATTTATCTATATCTATCGATGAAGGTAAAGAGTCAGAAATACCTGCATTCTATAGGTTTAGGATTTATTGCTAGGGTAAACTGCACCTTTTGCGAGTATCATTTCTGTCTTTCAAACACTTTAAGTGTTGTTACCTTAGTTTTCCTTTGCATTAAATTTTTCTAGTATGTGTGCAAGCTAACAAACAGCAATATGTCATAATATGTTTTCAGATATTTCTCGCCTCATTAGAGCATTAAAATTCCACTTTCTCTAATATACCAACATTTTCTGGAGTAAATATAATCTTTTCCAGGTCGGCTTATGAAGGGATAGTGTGGTCGGCACTATGCCTGGCCCCCTTTACTTTCCCCAATGTGCATTAGGTACCCATCAAAGCTGGGAGAACTCAGGGACATTCTACTGTTGAACCCGAATTTAAACTCAAGACTTTCGGGTTTGCGGTCTTGCACTCTACCACCAGGCCATTCCATCCCCTAGAGTGAATTGGTTATTCTAATCTTTCTTAATTTGACATTTCATACAATTATTAGGCTGTGTATGGAATATGATATATTTCCTAATATGAGTGTCTATTTTAAGGTATTATATAGAATGCCAGATTTTGAATTTAGTCTGTATCATATATACTTCCCCGTATACTTCCCGTTATAATATTTATTACTTTTTAAAAAGATGTATAGACCATTTTGTTCAAAATGTGTTCAATATTGCCATATCTCTAACACAACAACTTCACTTCACCAAGAGCTTAATTTTAAAAATGTTTTGAAAAAATAAACTATAAAATCTTGTGAACATGTAACAAAAGTATGATAAGAACAGCCAGGTACTGTGGATGATGTATATATCATATATATTTTTTTTAATAAGGAAGGTATCTAAGTAGGACTATACATGAATTAGGAAACATTTTTCTAAAGTACCTGTTTGAATGGATGTGGATATGCCCCGGGTGGCTCCTGGTTTATTGTTGTACCTGGTCTTCTATCTTGTGAGGGTATTTGATGATGATATCTATCAGGTTCCCTCATACCTCCTCTAGGGTTGCCCCTGGGTGGTTCCCTGAATTGTCCTCTACCTCGTCCACGACTTCTATCACTGTTATGATGTAGCAGATGCCTCCTTGGTTCACGTGGGTAAGCTGCAGGCTCATAAGGAGGCCCATGGGCACCGTTTGGTTGAGAGTAAAAGTTTGGTCTGTTACCAATCTGATTTGGATACTGCTGATTATTTGAATGCCAATTTGGCATATTTTGAGAAACAAAATTTGGTTGAAAATACGGATCAGCTGTTTGGCTGTTAAAAAATGTACCAGGCTGATGGGAGATATATGGTTGATTATACACAGGTGGAGGTAGACCATAGTGTTGGTCTTGATTACTCAAACACCACATAGGTGGCTCCGGACTGTATAAATACAGCATACCCCTTTTTTGCATTTTATACAGCGTTGGATTGATTTCTTTTTTTGTTTTGTATCCAAGCTTTTTAGCTATATCAAGAGTCTTTACTGGTTGTGGCAAGGACTTTATAATCTGTATTATCCGTTCTTCTTCATCTGAATTTTGGCGTCTTATTGTCTGCAAAAGCACATGAGAAAACAAACTCAAAGCATTTTCAAAATCCAAATATCCATACATTCAAAAAAAAAAAAAAATTTTTAAAATAAAGATAAGATTGTGGGCAAAATGTTTCCAGCTATCTTTACTACCCCCAAGCATATTTAAGTTAGATAAAAATCATTTCAGTAAACATTAAGTTAAAGCTGTTTATGTGAAACAAGCCTGCCTTGGAAAGATAAACAAACATGCCAAAGTGTTATTCCCAATCTGACTCTTCATTAAAATAGCTTTGAATCAAAAGAAACTAGCAGCATTTGATCAATGGTTAACTTTTGGAAAATACATTGAAATGAATAAACAATAAGGTTAAAACAGCTGAAAAACTACCATGAAAACCTACAAAAATTAATTTTTATAAATTAAAAAAAAAAAAATTAGAATATCCAACATTTTGCATTTAGGTACAACTATTTTTAAAAAGATATACATATTTTAATTCAAACGTTTGAAATTTTTTTTTTTGTAAAACAGTAATTGTGTACCTTGTTACTGGCAGATACAGAGTTATTCTTGGCTTTTCCTTGGTGCTTTTTTTTGTGTGATACAGGGCTGCGACTGCGAGCACCTGACATTACAACTGGGTAAGCTTAAAAAAAAAGTTACGAAACCATTTTTTTAAATTTATTTGATAAAAAAATCAATTTGAAAAAAAAATCAAGTTGAAAAAAAATCAAGTTGAAAAAAAAATCAAGTTGAAAAAAAAAAACAATTTGAAAAAAAAAAATCAAATTGCAATCATTGATAGAAACAATGTCATCAACATAATCAAGATAGAGAGGTACTTTTGGAAACTGTTATTCTACCTGAATTATTCTAATTCAAAATTTAACAGCATGAACATTGCATTTCTATAAATGTATTTCTGTAATAACTGGTCATTTGCTTTAATATTTAAATAATTATCTATATTTTCCATGTTAGTAATTCAAATAACATCAAATAATTCAATATAGTTGCAACAAACTTTACTAAAAATTATTATCAATTTAACTGAATTCGCTTTTAGGATAGTAGGAAATTATCTTGTTACTGCAGAGAATAAGCTATATTTTTACACTCCTTAAGATTAAATTTGTAAAAAGATTATTTCTATTTATACCTGATAATTTAATGGCCACTTTCAGAAAAACATAATTAAATTAATAGTCACCTATTCATCCAACACATCTACAATAAATTATATCTAGTTAACAATACTCTGAGCTGCTCTTTAGATAGAATATTATTAATCTGCCATTTCAATATTGAAAGCAGAATTTAAAATTTCAACAATTTTTTTTTTGGAAAATAGATTTGATAGATTTCTGTTCACCATGCAAGGATATTTTTTTTGTTTTTTTTTTGTTGTTAAAAATGTGAAAGTTGACAAGATACTAGTTCTAGAAAAAAATTAAAAATTGTGGAAGGGACACTACAGGTCTACTAATATTTAGAACCAATCAAACAGATATGTAGACCTACTAGTGGCTAGCCATACCACAATTAGCTTTATGTGTGGTCAAGCAATTTAGTGTAATTTCAATCTGGGTTGTAAGTCACTGAGGATAAGCCATTCATAAAGCCAGCCTAACTAAATTAGCAAAGATGTGGGAAGGACGAATTAACCCTTTCAGGACCAAGGGACACCGGTGTCCCAAATTTTAAAATTATCACCAAATGAAATTAGAATAACATAGAGTTGTTGAATTTGCTTTAAAACATTTATTACATGATAGACTTAATATAAATAAAGTTGCTTTCAGTATATATGAGATAGTTTTGTTGTCATAATTATGGGAACTTTGCATTTTTAGACCACTCGCAAAGCTACAGTTTACATTTTTATATAAAAAATACTAACTGTGACAGAAAGAAATTACTAGCGGTTTTTCAAAGGTTTACTATTTAGGTATTATATTTACATTTGTTTTTCCTAATAGCTTTGCTTGTTTTTTTAAAAAGGTAATTTTTTTTTGCTTGGGACATATATGTCCCTACGGTCCGGAAGGGAGCTAACTTTTTTTACAATGTTGCTAAGCATGAGTTTTGGCATTAGAATACAAATAGTTGCAAAGCTTTTATTTACGATAACTTAACAAAATGCTGAGCAAATACTGTTTATTTACAATAAAGACGATGAAAACAACTTGCTTCTTCATGAAAAAGATGTGAATTTTCTGTAGAAATATGCCGACAAAGTAAGTGTACAAGCTATAATCAAACGACTTGTTCAAGTCCCAGAGCAGATTGTCACTACTACGATAAGGCCTACGCCTTATTCTAGTCATTCTGTTTTGCATACATTGCATACATCGTCAATGCCACATGCTATAGTGACTAATATTCCCTCAAATCTGCATGTTCCGCGCAGTAATTGTGAACATGCAGCGCTGTCATTTCATAAAATACATGTTACCTTGTATGAGATTTTTAGAACACCGCGCACAAAAAATATACGATGTACACTAGAGTTTTCCCCTCAAAGGGAGCGTTAATAGTTACAATTACCCCTCCGACACCCCCCACCCGATATTACCACCTCCGAGCAATCACCCCTCGTCCAGTTATGGATAAGTTAGGACTAGGGTTATGTTAGGGTTAGGGCTAGTTTTAGAGTTAAATGTTGATTTAGAGGTGGAATTAGGGGTTTTGTTAGGGTTATCTATAGGCTTGGAGTTTGGGGTTAAGATCAGGGGTTTTCAGCATCGGTGAGGGGGGGGGGGAGGGGAATTGGACGGGGTGGTAATGTCCTAGACCCGAAGCTGACACATATCATTATCATCAATAGAACTAGACTTGCCCTAAACATGAACAACCAAACGTTTTTGTGATAATTGAAAATGGAGAATGGAGCAAGATATTATTTTCAACTAGAGGCTTCTGAAAACACAGTTTCCAATAAAAGTTATTGACAATGGGTATAGGAAATTGACAATAGATGTTAATTGAAATGAAGATCCTGATGATTTTAGGCAATTAAATCCATGTTTCATACATTGATAATTTGTTTTCAAGATAATGATGTGGATTCAAAAAGTCATTGATACCTATATTTGACAAGAATTCAACGCTGGATACAATGCAAAACCAAGGTTGAATGTAGGCAAATGATAGCGAGAGCTCAGATTTAGGGATTACATCAAAGAGATCTCACCTTAAGACCTGTTCATAGAGGCAAGAATTTCACTTCAACCCAACCAGAAATTGATAATTCAATGGAAGAAAAAACGCATGAGTTATGCACAATGTGTAACAGAAAAGATTGAGAACAGAGCTGTAACAACTTGAACTTCATTGTTGTTATTGTGGGTTCTTCAATATACTCATACGAGCAACAGTAGTTGTGAAACAATAACTTTATTTACACTTTGTACAGAGAATTAATAGATCCATAGTAAATCCATGGTCACAACTGGTATAAGTACAATCACAGTCAAGAAACAAAGTGTCGTAGTAACATCCTACATTCACAGCCACAGTCCTCAGGTTCAAGTTCTAGCACACAACACCCATTCACCTTTTTGCTCTCCCTTTTATTCACTACTTTCTCTCCCCTTACGTACATGAGCGATCTCACCCAAAAGCATGGACAAACACATGACGATCGCTCAGACAGTCCTTCCGCTAGCCAGGTACTCTTCATTCATGCAACTTCATGTAAAACACAATAAAATATAAACATACATAATTATACAGTCTGTGACAAGAGCGGACAATATGTATTATATCTGCCATGTTCGTGTATTTTATATAACATATATAACATCACATAACTGCTTCCATAAGCTCCATTCATAGATGACTACAGAGTTTCTTCCAGGCAACTCTTCGCCCCCCCCCCCCCCCCGAACGGAATGAAATTTATATAATTTATATAGAAAATATATACTTTTAACAGTGTCCGCCCCCCCGAAGAAAGTTTACCGCCCCCCCCCCCCCAAAAAAAATTTCAAGTGCCCCCCCCCCCCCCCCCCCCCGGAGAAAAAAGTCTGGAAGAAACACTGGATGACTATACACTCATAAAGGACACAAATGTGTTCGCAATACTGATATTTTCAATTTCTAATGTACCAGAACATCTAACACATGTTAGATCACTTTTAGAATAAACCTATTGACATAACTCACAACGTAACCTATTTTCGATAATTTTCCTTTGAGGACCGTAGGGACACATATGTCCCATGCTGTATCTCAAAAACTATTCAAGATAGCGGAAAACCGTTAACATTTTTGAAATCTACGTGTCATTTTACTACAAAATGTGTGCACGGATATTTGGAATTATGCCTGTAATCCTTGTGGTCCTGAAAGGGTTAAACAGGTTATCCTGTCAGCCCAATTCTTTTTTTTTGTTGTTGATGTAAATTTTATAACATAATCAATAATAAAATGTTGAGTTTTCAACAATTGTGTTTGCTGAGCATAAAATATAAGCCTATTTAAAAAAATTATCTGGTTTAATTCAATAGTGATAAAAAGATAATTTTAAACACTTAGGCCTATAGTATATAATAAAAACTGTTTAGGTGGTGAGTTTGAAAATTCAACAACAATTATTAATTTAAATTTTTTTTTTTAATTTAAAAATCAATAAAAATAATTTAAGCTAGGACTGTTTTCTTGTAACGTTTTAAATTTGGCTTTGATGTAGTGAACTCTCATCTTCATAATGAAATAGATTAGATCAAGAGACATTCAATGATGGCTGACAACAGATGGTGTCATGTGATTTATTATCAATCTTTTAGATCAAATATTGGTTAGTCTTTTTTTATCTAGATAATACACACTAGTCCCAAGGTATTAAATTGTTATCTCAAAAAATTGAAGATTGTGTGTATATATATATATATATATATATATATATATATATATATATATATATATATATATATATATATATATATATATATATATAGGCCATATAAAGCCTAAATAAATGGAAATAAAATGTAATCATTTTTTAAGTTAACCCCCCCCCCCCCCTCCCCAACCAAAACTTTACCTATGTCACTGTACATAATTATTTTAGATATAGAATTACATAGAATAACATAGCAGTCATGTGACATATGTCCTATGGTATACTATAGTCACATAATGTTTATAGGCCTACTGACTATAAATGGTAATGTGTAGAGTGTAGTGTATGCAGTACATTTAAACTTTTAAAATGCTGGTTTAAAACATTGGTCTAATTTCAACACATTTGGTGAAACTAGTGTCCAACAAATACTCTTCTGAAAATGGTTGTGTTAGTATAAATATAATGTTATTGAAGAATGGGATCTTTTTAAAAGGGGATGTAAGGTTACTGGTAGTAAACTAATACTAACAATTAAGGTAATAATTATATTATAAATATGACTTGTTAATGTTAATGGTAAAACTAAACCCAGCCTAGCACAAAGTGAAAGTAACCCAAGTCCTACCATCATACCATAGCCTTAACCTTGATTTCTGACCAAACTACTAAACTAAGTAAACTTGATAATACATAGATCTAGATCTAGTAACTAGTACTACTTACTAACTAGTTGCATACTAGCCAGATCTATTATTATTACTTAGTATGGCCTACTTAGATTACTTAGAATTCGATTAGTATTACTAGGCCTAAAATTAATAATCATAACTTATGTCTTATAGGCCTAACTATTTAACTATGTACTATTACTTACTAATACTTAGGCCTACTAAGACTAGCAATACATTAATAATTAGTATTATTAAAGTATTACTAACTATATTTGGATTATGCCCTACTAACTACTAAAAAAACTAAATTATTAATAATACCAATTGGCAATACTGAATAATTCCCCTAACTAAATTATATTATTAACTACCCAGCCAATTCCTACCACTGCCCTAACCATGGTGAAATGGAAAATAAAATAAATGACCCGGTCCTAACAGTCCTAACCAGTATTGTCAGTAACAATCATCGAATATGCCCCCCCCCCCCCCACCGTGGTTTCTCAGCTGTCTATACTATGGTCAAACTAGGTCAATCCCGTCTGTTGTCAACAACACAGCACAACAAAGACGTACTAAAATACATCTAAATCTAGTAGATCTTCTAATCTAGATCTGGATCTCTCTAGATCTAGATCTAATAAAGTAATAATGTCTAGCTAGACTTGACAGATCTTTTCTAGTCTAGTGTTGAGAACTTACATCGACGACTACTCTCCAAATTTGAAATACAAAATTATAATTTTTTTATTCGGCCTGTTTCAGCGTTTGCTTACTAATTCTATCATATTATCAAATCTAAATACGAAAAAAATTTTGTTTTTGGTTAGATGCATGAGACTAAATAAATATGTTACACGTCAATTAACTATCCCAGTTGCAGACAAGCTAGTTTCAGTTTTGAATATTTTATTAACAGTAGTGTTGACATTTGCCTGGCTTCAAGGAAATTATCTAGGCTTAGGCCTAACTTTCGTTTTTTATTCTCGGTATTGGCCAGATTTATTGACATCATTATGTCCGGTTAAAGCCAAGTTAAGCATTTCTTGTGAAAAAAATGTAAAATGTAACCACACATTTTTTATACTTTTAAGTTAGAGTAAAGTTCCACGCGCGGTCACACATAGCGGAAAATTCCAAATTCCCGATTTTCATCGGGCGCTATTTTATAACCGTTTCACACAGAAACAAACCGAAAGCACTGTATTACTCCGCTGCCATTCTACTGTAATATGTATGAGTCATTTTGTATTCCTACGCATAGTATTTAAGATATTCATGTTTTAGTGACGTCCCTCCTTGCGATATTTTTTTTCCCTTTTTTTTTTGCCTGCGTACGCAAGAACCTGCTTGCCAACGAGCGTATTGTATACGTTTTGATCCAATTTTAATAATTGAAATAAATATTTTACACACTTAAACATGTTGTTGATTGTATTATTAATTAATAGATTGCAAAAATAATAATTAAAAACAAGTTAATTAAATTAATTAAAGACATTAAAAGTTGACCCAGTGATGACTCAAGGGACGCAACTATAATAATCATAACAAAGGGACGTAACAACCACTAAAAGACATAACGTAACATTTGCTTAGATATGCTTGTATGTAGAGACACAAACTAGATTTAGAAGAAGTAGATGATCGAAATAATTTAAAACAGCAGAAAAAAATAGAAAGTATACAGATTCTAGGCTTAGTTTGAAATATAGAGCATCTAGAACTAGGCTAGTCTAGCTCAAGTCGTTGGTTACGCAGCGATGTGAAACCACCGTAATCGACACCCAAGCTGCGGCCACCCCTATTTACCTATCAGGTTGCTTTATTAGCCTTATCTATCGTATGTACAGTGTCCCGCATATATTGTAGAAGCTATTTATAGTTAACCTAGTTATAAAAAGCTTTGATTGGTTGGTTTTATTCATCTCATCCGGGACCTAGTGTTTTTCATAGGGGGAACTAGAACCGCCTAGACGTCATACCTCGAAACTTTAAAATTTAAAAACTCGACTTCCAGAAGGAGAAAAACAAAAGAATTTGACCTGGATATATTTAGAAATGGACAGGTTTACAGCAGATATCGGTAGTTTCGTATAAAACATCAAAACAAATATTGTACGAAGCGATAAACAGGCGATGATCGCACCGGTGTTTTAACCGCGCGTGGAACTTTACTCTATATTGATTTGTTTTAATTTTTATTATATTGTTGGGAGGTAAAATCACTAGATCTAATACTTTTACTAATTCTGATAGATTGTTTCATGTAAACTCTTAAGGAAAATAGAGGCCCTATATTATTCAAAATTATGTGGTGAAATAGAGGCCAATTTGTATGAGTATGACAGTCAAAAGATTTAATTAAGAAAAAAACGCGACAAAATCTAAAATAACTGGAATAGAGATCTCAATCCAGTGTACTAACAGCCTGTGGAAACATATTACTTTACACATATTAAACTTTCTATCATAAAAGATTACACACGGTAGATCCATCAGTTAGGTGTAGCAAATCTTACCATCGTGAATTCACTATTTTAACTGGCCATAACTTTACTAGCGTTAGTTTGAATATTAAAGGATAAAAAAACTCAATTCAGGCTAGTTAACACAATTTACAAGAGACACGCTGTTCACACTGTAGAGACAAGACGACGTTTCATTCTTTTATAAAGAGATTGAGTTGATCGACATTCGGTTTCGGAAACGACAGATGTTGCGAAATGACATTTTTAAAATCCGGAAGATAGTAGCGGCGCATATAATGATCTATTCGTACATCATTTGCACAATTTCAGTATCACTTAGTGGATATCTAACCGGGATATAGTGAATTGCCGATAGATACGGTAGCCATAATTTTTAATGGTCATAGTTTTACTTGTGGTAGGACATGGTACAATATATATCATTAGAATAACACAAAGTCGTAGTATTTTAACATTCTGTTATATTGTGCTGTGTGCAGTAGC